CTATTTATATTCTGGAAATTGTTTTTCTATTGGTTGATTAGATAATAAATGAGGTTTTAGTTTAGAAATAAATAAAAATTAAATGATTTATTAATATATGTGCATTTTTCTAAAACATCACTTAGTATAAAAGAAGAGAGAGGGAGTATTATTTTCTATCTCTCTCTCGAAACTGTCATCTTTCTCTTTCTTCTTCTTCTGAAATCAAAACATTATTTTTCTCAAAAAAAGACTACTCTTTTCTCGCCGAATTGTGGAAAAAAAGACTACTCTTTTCTCGAAGAAGAAATAGTTCTTCTAGAAAATGCATGGGCCTATCCAACAATGATGGCCACGGTAAGTGAATGTATGGGGAGAAGACACTCAGCCTCTGAGTGTTTGAAACACTACGAAGATCTCACCAGAATCCGTGCTCCGTTAGTTCCGCCGCCGCCACAACCAGAGAGGAAGAACACCAGCAAGGAAATTAGCATCTGCATCTTCTACTTTGGAGGAAGAGGAATTTGACTGAAAAAGATGGGTGTGATCACTCACACAGGGACATGTCAGGTAGTGTTTCAATTGTTGTAAATTTGTACAATTGTTGTAATTTTGTTCAATTGTTGTAAAATTTGTTCAATTGTTGTTATTTTGCTCAATTGTTGTTGTTTTGTTCAATTGTTTCCTCTGTTTCTTTCTACTAAAATTGTTTCCGGATATATATTTTTTATGCAGGCAATGTGTAATAGCTCGAGAGATTACAAAGCTGCATGAAGAGGTAACATCCTTAATCACTTTAGATGTGACGTGTTAACATGGGTAAATGGTTTATGATAAACCCACTGATGAGAGTTGCTTTTTTTCTATAGTTTTGGAGAGGTTATATAGGGGAAGCCAAGCAAGAGTTTCTGATTCGCCAACCAAAAGGAGAAGTCACGCTTTTGATTGAAGGAAAGGAAGAAACCAAAGCTGAAAATCCAACGGAGTCTCAACTTGAAGAAGAGTTAAGAGGGCTGATCTCTGATGGACATAGCCTTTCCACGGTAACTATTTTGATATGAGAACTTACTAAGCTGAAAACATGTTTGATTCCTGTTTAATTCATGAAGATGGATATGTGTAACTTAATGATTCTAGATCTAACATCAAACTTTTTCAGGCGGTGAAAACGGTGGCGGAAAGAACATCAATGAGAAAGAAAGAGGTATATTTGATGGCATTGAAGAAATTCGCGAAGCAGATTCAGGTAGAAGATGAGGTTGATGAGTAAAATGAGTGGATATTGCCTTGTTAAAGATTTTTCTTCAAACTCATCAATGTCATGTTATAAAACTGTTGCGTTATGTGGAAAAAAATAATAATAATTGTTGCGTTAATTCTCTAATATGGTCCCAAACCTCAAAGTTCTTGAGCTATGGATCTTGATTTGGTAAATTTAGAGTATAGTAAGAGTTACTTCCTCCATACTGATTTGGTAAAAAAAAATTGTTGCGTTAAATCTCTTATATGGTCCTAAACCTAAATTTAGAACACGAGTGAGAACATGTGATAGAAAGATCAATTAATCAAGTAAACTTAATAAGATAATTTAAAGTGTCATTTTTGAAAAAACAAACATATATTTCAAATCCTTTAATGTTTTAGTGTTAAAAAATTACAAACAATATTTGAGGTGTTAACATTAATGCACTACATTGACAATTTCATGGAGTCATTCACAAAAAAAAAAAAAAAAAAAAAAAAAAATAGTGAAGAATTTTTACATTGTGAGTCTATTAGTTTAGATCTACACAAACTAAATTAATCTTGCTAACCAAATATAAACAAAAAAAGTATTAAAAAAAAATTTCTAACCATTTACGTTTTAAGGTTTAACCAAAATCAAACCAAAGATCTTTAATTACTTTATTTTTGGTTCGGTTAGGGTTTAACAGACAAAAGCTAAAAGACCATTTTAACTTCGAAAGATAAAAAAGAGAAAAATGTAAGGTGTTATTCTAACTTTCGTAGAACTAAGAGTAAAATGTAGAAAAACTATTCTAAACACCAAAGAACATAGAATAAACCGTAGAATACGTATTCCAAATTATCATAGAAGTAGGATAAAGTGTAGAATATGTATTCTAACTTTTTTAGATCATATAAATTTTCAGTTTTACAATTTTGAGAATACAGATCATATACAGATTGCTTGTGAACGTGTTTTTCATTGTTTTTTTCTTTCTTAAAACTGCCTTAAATTTTCTTGATCTAATTTTAAAAATTGTTTAGTTCGAAGTATAATGTTGTTTCGTCTGGATCAGTCATGCACCGACGTAAACAGAACGGAGATTTAGCGGCGTTTGCGTGTATCATAATTTTCTAGGGGTGTCAAAATGGGTAACCCGACCCGACCCGACCCAAACCCATATGGGTTTGAGTGTTTAATGGACGGGTTTGACCCGACCCATATATTTATATGGGTTGAATTTACATACCCAAACCCATTATTATAGAAATCCATTGGCTTAGTGGGTTATATGGGTACCTATATATATGTATAATAAAATATATAAATAATAAAAATCTAAAAAAATAACATAAAATTGTAAACCAACAAAAGTTTTTAAATAATAAATTAAAAAAAAATCTAGATATTAAAATAGAAAAGCATCCTAAAATCTTAAAACCACAAATCCAAAGAACCATAAAACCAAATAAAAAAAAAATAGTCTTAATTTAAAGAACATTTGAATCTTCTTTAGATGCATCCGATTCTCCCGCATCGAATTCTTCGGCCTCATTCTTCATCTCCGGCTTCATTGTCTACAAACGAGTTGGAAAAAATATTAGAACCTTGGCTATAATAATAAGTTAATAACAATAACAAAATATTGATATAGATGATAATATACCTTTTTCATCATCCGCATAACCAAATAACCAAGATCTAGTACAAAGTAAAGCTTGAACATGTTTAGGAAAAAAAATATTATACATATATTTTACTTTTTACTTTTATTTTTAGGTAAAATGTAAACTTTAATAGTTATTTTAGATATTTTACATATATAGTTGTAAAGAAAAGGAGATATTTTACATATATTTATATAAATTTTACATAATATATTAATATAGATATATATAAATTTTACTTTTTAGTTTTGATTATGAAACTCACGGGTAACTCATGACCCTAATGGGTTTTACCCATTAAACCCATAACCCTAATAGGGTAACCCACTAAAACTCATTTATATATATGGGTAAAAAAATTATACCCAAACCCACTAAAATCATGGACGGATTCGAGTAACCCATGAGTATTAATCCATTTTGACACCCCTATAATTTTCAATAAGAGTGACAAACGGCGCTTAAACGGCATCTCACTCCTCGTTATTAACAAAACTAATCAAAAGCTCCACTGTCACTGTAGTGCGTATCTTTTTTACTCTAATTTATTGATTCATCTTTATAATCATGATTCCATAATCATTTAAAATCCAGTCGTCATAAAATATCCGATGCCCACATATCAATTTATTTTTACGCAACCACTAACGACTCATTTTTCCTTTTTGCCTTTTTGGCCATCCACTAACAACTATTTAAAGACAAATGTATACTCGAATTCAAATCTAATGTGCTATTATAATTTATAAGGTGCGAGGATCACGGACTCACGGATAAACTAAAAAAAAAAAAAAAAAAAAAAAAAAAAACTACATAATCTATGTCACATCTAACTCGTGTTGACTTGAGAAAATATAATTTGGTTTTGCTAGGTATATTTTGATCGTGTACCAGTTAACTGGCAAAAAGAATTAGATATTACACCTCCATGTCATATGAAATATCATTATGAGATTTCTAGCGAAGTGTTTTGAGTTTCGGAGAATCCTAGTTTTGTGAAAGTTGCATTATCTATAGTCCATACGTTCTCAGTTTTTCAAAGTTAAATTTACATTAAATTCTTAACTAGAATGATGATAATCATATATATAGTTAGTGTCTAGTAGTTTTATCATATTGTTCATCGATTTGATATACATACACACTACTATTTGTTGATATCATATATGGCTATCATAGAATTTATAGAATAGTATTTGATGATGTAAACTAGATTATCTAATAATAAAAGTAAACAGATATTATTTACGTATTTAAAAAAATAATCGTTATAGTAATCTATAGTGACACCACTTTTTTTTTTTTTTTTAAAGAGGAATGCAATACGAAGATTTTCCGGGAGGTTAACACTACTTTTTTCATAAAAAGAAACAAGGGGTGGCACAAGTCAAAAATCATAGGTCCAAAAAATTGTTTATAAGGTTACTAGAAGAGGATGAGCACATGTTAACTACAAAAAAATATTGCAATATGAAAAATTGTTGCTATAGGGCAATATATTGTTGCAAATATACAATTGCAATGAATACACAACCAATTTTCTATCGTTTCTGATTGAGCATTGCAAATAAAAATTTGTCGCATAGACATCGCAAAATCTGCAATGAATCAATTTCTCGCTATAGATGTTGTATTAATGCAACAATATTTTGTAGCAGATTTGTCGTATTATTACGACCCGTTTGCAACATTAAATTGTCGTAACTTATTCCAACGCAAAACATATAACAAATACCGTTGAAAATTTGCGATAGTTATTTTGCAAGATACTTTCGTTACAAAGATTTTGTTACGATGACAAATGCATAATTTGTTGTAAATATTGTCGTGACTAATATTTTGCGTTATTATAATAATATATGTTGTCAAAAGTTTATTGTAAATTGTATGGTCGATATATATATTTTTGTTACAATAATCTTGCTATAATTAAAATTTGACCCATAGATTCTACTAAATTATAATAATTGATCAATATTAAATTTTTATAATTAAAATTTATTTTAAGAAGTTCCAAGATTGAATAATAAATAAATATATATTAGATAAACAAGGAGAAACCTCCAACAAATTATAAATATCAAAATACATTAAAAATATCAAAAGATAAACTAAAGCCAAAAAAAAATAACTAAAATATACTAGCCAATTTTAGAAGAGATAACAGTTTCTCCAATCCTTTAAGCTCGGTGATCCATCTTTGATTTCTGAAATTTTGTTAAGATCTGCTTTAACAAATCCATGGTTAACGATTCATCTGGGAAAAAAAAACTTAAAGGAAAAAAACAGAGTTAATACTAAAATAAACTCATACAAAAAAAAACTAAAAACTAAATCATATAATTTACGTTAAATTGAATCAAATAAAAATATGAACACTTAAAAAGTAGGTTTTGTTTTAGCTACCTTTGTTGGAATGGTAGAAAATCTTATATAAAACTGGTAATACTGCAAAAGACGATAGAAAATCAGATCATTCCAAGACATTCAAGACAAGAAAGATGACGAATGGGGAAAACTTCTTACTGAGTTACAGTCACCCATGGTAGTGCAGACCTAACACTAACTATGTTCTTCTACGTAAAGAGTAATAACTCTCGTCAAGTTTTTCCAAAGAAAGCATTAACTTCTCGAATTTTGTTTTTATGTTTAGTTGATTATGTGGTGTTGGGCTTGGTGTTGATCAAGCTTTTATTCTACGCTTTTAGGTGTCGACGTATTTGGTTGTTAAAAGGTTGTTCTGATACTTAAAAGATTTTAATATATATATGTTGGTTCTAGTAAGGTAACAAAAAAAAGGCATATAATAAATATATGTAACGATTGAGAGTATTTGTTGGTTTTAGTAACTGTTGAGACTTATCCCAAAAACAGAAATTATCCAAAGATTTAAAGTTAATGAAAAGAAAAGCAGTGAAAAGAAAGAGAGAATGCCAAATAGCATACCTTTTTTTAAAAAAAAATACAATTTTCCATAGACATAATAATGTTGTTTATTTAATCTGGAGTAAACTATGGTTTTAACTCTTAATACACTTGACAAATTTATATAATATCATATATGTCAAGAGTGTCAAAAGAACGTTAACTCATAGTTTATTTAAATCCAAACCAGATTTAACTTAACTAAAATATAGTTATTTAAATCTCAACCCATTTACCTCAAAAATTGGAAACCCACTAAACGAATCACGCTAGTTTTAATTTTTAAATGCACAATAGATATTGCAAAAAATTAGTAAAGAAGTTCCTACAAAAAAAAAATTAGTAAAGAAGTTGCAAATATAGTTACAAAAGTGATACGTTTTTTACAGTAACTTACTATTATTGTTGAATATTTCTTGTAAAATGTGCATGAAATTTTTATATGTCGTAAAATAATTGCAAAATAGTAACAGAAATTTACAACAATTTTTGTTGTTGTAAATTTTTTTGAAAATTGCAATGAATTTGTAATAAAATTGTAACGTGTATTAATCATTGAAAAAATATTGCAAAATTTATAGCAAAATTTCAACAAAACTGAACGTTGCAAAAATTATGTTGCAATATTGCTATTTTCTTGTAGTCAAATTCCTCGTGGAAGCTAAGTTTTAATCATTTTGGATGGACATTGAGTGCATCCAAAGTTTTTATGGACATGGATTGAGACCAAAGTATACTGTCGCCCACGACCCAATAAAACAAAATTAAATATAGAAGTAATGCACATGAACAATAAGATAATTTTGAAATTTTCTTTGAATTATATATAATATGGTTTTCAGAAATTATATTATGGAAATGTTGTACCATGCAAAGAATAAAATAAAAGAATTGTAAATCTGGATCACGATCACATGCAATGGAGCCCAGCAAACCCGTCACCGTGTTGCTTCTTCTTCTTCTTCTTCTTCTTCTTCTTGTCGTTTTCGCACATGTTCTATGGTCCGATTACTATTAAGCTATTATTATAAATCATGATTTCAACATCAAACCTAATTCATTATCTCATCGACTTTAAATTTCATTAGTCGGTGTGAGTGTTGCCTGTTTTATTTGGTCTATTCTTCACGTTTTCTCATATGAAATTATATCACATTTTTCAATAAAAAATTTAAGAATCATTTGTTTCTTTTAGAAACTGTCACAAATTTTCAAAATAATGCTAATTAACAAACCGTTCATAATATCCGTGTATTACGGCATTATATTAAATTATGTATGAAACAATATTTTTCCGAATTGGCTTTCTAAATTTTCATAATACAAAATTTTCGACAAAAAAAAAAAAAAAAACTGTTTAATGGCTCATAATCTTCTAAAATACTCGACTATAATTTTTTTTCTTAAAATATATCATTCAAAAGTTCTTTCCATACACAAACACGTTATTTTTTTTAGGATTCTTCTTTAAAAACCGTTCTCAACCTAAATGTCTATATAGGTATTGAGTTTGTTTGCCCTCAATAGTTGATCATTTTCCCATTAATCTTTTTTTTATTGAATTTAATTAATGTTAAATTATATTCAAAAGAAAAATAAACGTTTTTTAGATCAAATGCATCAAGTGGCGGAGGCAGGGCTTTGATAGGGGGTTCAGTTGACCCCCATAAATTTTCAAAAATCCATTATATGTCATTAGCAATAATTCTAATGACCCCAATTTATTATAAATTTTGATCCCAATACAAATTAATGTTGCAACATGAAAGAAAAAATAGTCCAAATACTTGAAAGTTGGATTCTCACTAAACTTTTAGACCCATAATTTACCTTAAATAAAAGAAATACTCACCTAATATTATTTTAGTTTTTACAAAAAACCAAATAAAAAATATCAAAATTTTTAGTGTATTATTTTATATTAAAATTTTTTTTTTGACCTCCGTAACATAAATTTCTAGCTCCGCCACTGAATGCATCGAGAAAGATTTTGAAAAAATAAATTATAAAAATGGTTTGAAAATTTCTAAGATCTGGATTGGAACGAGAGTTGGAAACTCTCAGCAATCTTAGAGAATGACAAAACTCAAAATTTTATATAATAGTAACTCTATAAATTAGCTAATATACTAATTAAATAGTACGTATAGCCAACTCATTTATAATAACACATTTAACTAAGTAGGTATTGTATATAGTATCTCGTGATTCTAAAACATTGATTTAAATTATGTAGTAAACCGGGGATGTGCTTTTAGTCAAGTCGTTAAGTCTATTTGACTCTGCCTTCTCCACCGGAGTTCGACTCCAGTAAGTCGCGTTACCCCGCGTAGTAGGGATTGGCTATGAATCAGACTTTGTCGATCCAAAGATGTCAAAAAAAAAAAAAATGTAGTAAACCAATATAGTTGGTATAGTTGTTAGAGATATTTTTTTCCAAAACAACATAAACGTTATTAGCATAGGGTCCCCTACTTAATTATATGCGTTGGTCATGCGAGATATTACGAAAATATATGGTTCACATTCCTTTGGTAAGATTAGGGTATGTCAAAAAAAGAAAAACACAAATTAATCCATTCACTACCCGTACATGTATAATCAGACCCTTGTTACTATTTTAGGTTTATTGTAATTGTATCTAGCTACTTGTATATTGCCCAAATACTAAAAAGGGATAAATAGTTGATGTGACGTTGTTGCTTTTTTGCTTCGGTCCTTCTTCCATGTGGAGCCATTTCTCAGCTTTTAACTTTTGTCTCTTGTTTCTTTCATTAAAAATGATACAATTGTAATAAAACTCTATACAATTTCTTTTACAAGTTACACATATTATCATATTTAAATACGAATTATGATATTAATAACAATTTTTCAAAATACAAATGTCAGCCAGCAAAAAATACGTTAAAGCAATTTATAGTAATTGTCTAAAACTAAAACCAATCAATATTATAAAAATGTGTTTTAGAAGAAATTATTGATTTGTGTGTGTTTTGTTTTTTAAACTGATTTGGAAAATCTTGAGAATTCACTATGTCAAAATCAACTCTGAACTAGCTCAAGATTTTAACTAATATTTAGAAACTGGTTCAAATTTAACTTGCAAACTGGTTCAAACTTAACTTGCAAACTGGTTCAAATTTATATAAATTCAGTCTAAAATAAAATAAAATATTAAACTCTGAACTAGCTCAAGATTAAACATCTAAAATAATTTATATTTAAAAGTTCAAAAAAATCAAATATTAAGTAACACATAATTTCAAATAGTATTAACAAAAATCATTAAACAAGTAGCACAATTTTCAGACAAAAATTATCGAAAAACAATCAAAATTAATAATCTAATAACACAAGATATAACTGCATTTCCAATACACAAATCAACAACTCTTCATCCTCAACAACCATTCAATACCTAAATCAAAATTTTCTACGAAACCTATAGAAAAACAAAAACTTTTCCATCATAATACACAATAATATCGAAAACAAACATTTTGTATGTATATGTAAAGTAAGTTAATGCAAACAACATTAATTTAAAATAATTTGGAAAGCTCCATTAACTTATTTTTAATCTCCCAACTAATTCACTACACCAATTTTCCATACAAAATAAAGCTGAGAGTAGAGTACATATCAGAATCAGACCAACGACACTTATTTACACACTCTGTTTTTTTTTTTTCTTCTTCTCAAATCTTTCTTTCATTTTTTTTTTGAAAGATTCAATTTCCCTCTCATATCAGAAATCTAAAAATGGGAACAACGATCTTGGTTCTCTCCAAGATCCTAACTTTCTTACTAACAACAATGCTGATTGGATCCAGCATGATCCAGTGTAGTAGTGTGACTTACGACAAGAAAGCTATCGTCATCAATGGCCACCGTAGAATCCTCCTCTCCGGTTCTATTCATTACCCAAGAAGCACTCCTGAGGTAATAAAAATCGAATCTTGATAAAACAACAAAAATGGGTTTTGTTTCTTTTGTTTAAATTTGATGTCTTTTTGTAGATGTGGGAAGATCTTATAAAGAAAGCTAAAGATGGTGGCTTGGATGTTATTGATACGTATGTTTTCTGGAATGGTCATGAACCTTCTCCTGGAACTGTAATACAATTCTTCTTCTTTAAAGTTGCTAACTTTATGAAATTTAGATTTGGTTTTTTGGAGTTTTTAGATTCTATACTATGAGTGAAATTGGTGGGGTTATGTTTTTGTTGCAGTACAATTTCGAAGGAAGATATGATTTGGTAAGATTCATTAAGACGATTCAGGAAGTGGGTCTTTATGTTCATCTCAGAATTGGTCCTTATGTTTGTGCAGAATGGAATTTTGGGTAATGTGTTCAATAAATTTCTTTTAAAAAAAGTCAAATTTTGAATTTTGAAACTGTCTTGAAAGTTGTGTTTTATTTTTGGCCAGAGGGTTTCCTGTGTGGTTGAAGTATGTAGATGGGATTAGTTTCAGAACTGACAATGGACCCTTCAAGGTAATAAATGATTGATGTTTGATTATGTTCAATGTTGGATTTGTATAGTAACATTTGTGTATTGTTAAGGCTGCAATGCAAGGTTTCACAGAGAAGATTGTTCAGATGATGAAGGAACATAGATTCTTTGCGTCACAAGGTGGACCCATTATTTTGTCTCAGGTATTATACAAATTCACTAAACTTTTTCTTGTGAATTGATGTGAGAGATGCTTAAAAGGTTTGGTTTTTAAATGTGTTAGATTGAGAATGAGTTTGAACCAGAGCTTAAAGGGCTTGGACCAGCTGGTC